TCCTACAAATATAAAATGACTACTTGACCTATGACCAGTCATGTAAGTCATAGTGGTCATTTTAGGTCATAGTCCAACACTGCATACAACCCTAACAAATCTATGGTGGTGAAAAGGGAATCAATGTTATTGTATATCCTCCTACTGAAACGGTACCACACAAATAATTAGTATCCAACCAGCCTTAACGGCCAATTTTTATGTATTGTAAACCAGCTTCCGGCAATGATTTATTTTATAAATAAAGTATTATTATTTTATCAGATGTAAATGAGAAGCAGGTCACATGTAATGATGTAATTCCTGTGTAATGTAAGATTCGCATACATTGTTTTTTTTTATTCTGATAGATGATTCTAATTTTTCCTGGAATAATCTCCTTAAAATGTCGAAGCGAGGCCTAAGGAAAGAAATGTAAGTATCAAATTCTTCTTGTATTGCAAGTTCAAGAGACTCATTCAACTAACTATTACCTTATATTGAGGAAGGAAAAAATTCTTCTTGGGATTAACATTGAAAAAAATCGCAACAGAAGTATTGTGAAAGGAAGAGTTCTTTCATGAAAGAAACATTCTCAAAGCCATAACATATTTTATCTAGAACTTTCCCATATGTACTAAAGCCCCTGGTCTGAATAACAATTAACTGGATTGCATTTTTACGTAATTAAGGCAAGGAAATAATAGAAAGCTTTCATCCCAAAGATCTTAGATCAAGGAATTTTTCTTGGCAAAAGGATTAGCGTTACAAATTGTAACGCACACGTGATTTTTTATTTTATTTTAAATATTCATATGCAGTGTATTAGTTATATATAGATCATGTTATCAGAGCTTGAATTATTAAGACAGCGCATTAGCGAGCTTGAAGCTAAGAACGCCAAGCTTGAGGCTGAGAAAGCTGAACTTCTAAAGCAGGTTATGGAGAAAGATGTCAAGCGTGATGCTGAGAATACTGAACTCAAGTCTAGAGTTAGGGAATTCGAAGCCAGGCTCTCAATATTGGAACAGGGTATTACTGAAGCAACTGGACAGCCACAGAATGATAAGGATGCGATAGCAGAAGTACGGTTATCTATAGATAACCTAGTATCAGCTGATGATTCTGTAGTAGACCAGCAAAATATTGTTAACACCAAGGTAATTGAGGATAAGAAAATAGATAGTTTCTATCCTGAAGAACCTGCCAGCTCTAAGTTACCAGAAGAAAAGAAGGTAGACACTTTCCTGGATGAGGTAAATAAGAAAAAGGTTAACAATGAGATTAGGAAAAGGAAGCAGGAGAAGAAACTTCAAGATAATTTTCAGAAAGATCTGGACTTAGAGACACACATAGCTTCTCTGAAATCTGCCACTTCCTTGAATGAAAAAAATGGATAGGGTTATTCTCCTATAGTAAACGAGCAAGTGCCTAACAATCAGAAAATCGCCTATAATCAGAAAGTAGAATAGGGTTTGAGACACGAGCTATCTGCTTATATAAAAGAGAAGGGAGGTTTGCTTAAACAAACTGGAGAGGTTGCTCCGCAATCAGATAAAGCATTTGATATTGAGATTCCTGAATTCTCTTTAGAAGTGATTCTAACAGGATCTAGTGAAATTACAGCGCAAAATATAGTTGATCTATTTAGGGTGGTAATAAAAACCAGACAAAAGGAAATCTTATGCTGGTATTATTACTACAAGGCATATGAGGACTGAATCAGGGATGTCAAATCTACAAGCAACATTGATGACCAATCGACAAGAACGCTGGTATACAACGAGATCAAAGCTCTTCTTCCTGACATTACTGATGTGAACTTGCGTCAGAAAACCTTCAGAGCCAAAAAAATCTACATACTATTTATGGGAATAAGAATAGATAGAATACAAGCAGTTACTTATAGCACAAGCGCAATTTCTAACTTAAAAGATTATCAGATCCAGGGCATTATAAATAATTTTTCAAAAAAGGTCGACAATATAGATGAGATGATCAGCGTTACAGATTGTAATGCGCACGTGACTGAATCTTCTGAGATAAGTGAATCAACTGCACCTATTTCTGCTTCTTATGACTCTAATTCTTTAGATGATTCATCTAGTTCGGACAGTCCGTCTAAAGCTGTGGTAACACCTATTCCTCAACCCAATAGTCCAATTCATGACCAGGCATATTTCCGCAATAAAATCTTAAAGCTTTACCCTAGAATATCTTATAGACGTAGTAATGACAGATCTGAAAATGTATATAATTATAAGACAAAATCTTCATTATGTCCATCATGTGAGACGAATCATATAGAAAATATAGTAGGTCGATATAGGGAGGGATCTGGTGCCTCTAGCACCTCTTATCATATAGGTTATATGTTTAAATATACAGGAGATCTAGAGGTGGTGGCATAAAAATTAGATCACTATGAAATCGATCACCTGAAATGTGCAGAAGATATCAGAGAAAATTCTCTTTTTTTTTTCATATGGTTTAGAAAAAATCTATCACTTGATTTTTTGCAAAGTTAATTTGAGTTATATTTTCTCACTCTGCAGATCAATAGATCAAGGGGACAGGGCTATGCGATGTAAGATTGCCATATATATTTACATTATTTTTTTGAATCACGTGGGTGGCTAGATATCATGCGTAGTAAGACATCATCCCTATATCCTGCTTATTTTTTCATCATGTGGTCGATCACCTAAAATGCGCAGAAGATATCGGTAAAATTCTTGCCGAAGAATAGGGGCTGTGTGACGTGTGAATTGCATATAAGTCACTTTATTCATATTTTTTTTCTAACAAAAACTGAACGTTAAATCATTTCCTCCGAAGCCTTACAATAGGACCAGCATACTCACAATATCGCAGTGTGAAGAAGTGCTGGTGAAAAAAAAATACTGGAGACGAAGATCTGGACAAGATATTGCACAATTAAGGTGGGAATACTTATTTCGCTCGGTTGTGGCAGTACATTTGCAAGGAAGCGTCTTCAAAGCTATAAACTAATACCTAGTTAATATCTTTTCATTCAAGAGTTTGGAGGATCTCTTTAGCATCATGAAGACATAAATGAAATAGATTGTGAAATAATGTTGGGATAGGGTAGGTGTTGAGAAGGAGCCGGCAATGAAGGAAGAGAGTATAATTATGTATTTTAGTCTGCAGTCAAAGAATAGAGTGTCATCATGTACCCTGGGCTAGTCTCGCATCATGTAATTTATTTTTAGCGGTTCCAGGACCAGGCTCAATGTACTACAAATAAAAAACGTTTAGGGTACTAGGTGACCCGCGAAATATAGTCAATTATTTTTCTCGTATGGGAGGTGATTGGTGTGATTCTTTTGGAATCTACATACTAATTTTTTATTTCTCGAAAGTATGCATATTAATACAGGGTAATTTAGAAAATCTGGATCAGTTAATTATTGGGCAATATGATTTCCAGCGAAGATCCAGAAACTTTCATGTTTTGCAACGATCGTAGCTCTTAACTGCGAAGAAATCATAATTATAAAAATACTGGATATATTGGAGGCGTCTGGTAGGAGAAACAAATAAAAAAAGTAATATATTCATTTTACCCTCAAAATATTCTAACAAGTAATCTGCTCTAAATCAATCAAATTAATTTTTTATTGAGCATAAAACTATCAAAATATCTTTCGCGACTTCTAAATCAACAAATACATAATAAACTTCTCCAATAAAAAATGATTTCATTCACCTTCGACGCTATCTTATTCCTCATTTTCATTGCTTTCGTCACAATTTATGAGATGCTTCTCCAGGGTATCTTAACAGTGGAGACATTTCGAGGCATTTTTTTGGAAAATTCCATAATATATATATTTCTTGTAGGGGTGTTCTTATTCCTACGCAAATATCTATTATCGACTCCGGCAAAATCACAGATCGCCAAACTTGAAAAATTGATATTGGCGTTAAATAATGAAATACAAAAAATGAAAGGAGAGGCAAAATGGAATCGTGTATCGCAAGGTAAGGAAATTTTCATCGTTCTGTCTTTTTGCATATATTTTTAAAGGTAAAGAGGTACTAACTTTTTATCATCTATCATTAGGTTCGTCTCGATTCTCTTCAGGCCGTGTATCTGCCAGTCAATATTCAGAATATCCTGATGAAGTCCAAACTTTATGGGTGGAATTCACAGCCCTATTTAATTGAAGAAGAAAAAGGAAGGGACGCTTCCACACACAATTATACAATGTAATTTCTCAAGAAATCCGTCTAAGCTCTGTGACTTTGGCGAGTTTCTACCGCCATCAAAAAACTCCAAGGACTACTTCCTTGGATAAAATCGAAGAATGGGTTGAAAGAGAAGGGAGGAGGGATTCTAGTAACAGTAGTAGTAGTAGTAATAATAGCGATAATGGTGACAATTAGTGGAGCCAAAGAATAGGAGCAGTCATTGTCTTTCGAGACGGGCTTTGGATCCGACTGCAAGTGTTCTAATATATCGGACTAATTGCCTAATGCAATTATATGATATTTAGAGCGTGTTCTCCTATGCAACTCCGCGAAACTTTATTATATCGAAAATACAAAAAATAATTTCTTTATTGTGATAAATTTTACAAAATAATTTTAATAAAAATATATTTAAAACTATAAAAGAATCTTGTTTTTGCCTGCTACGTCTTATTTTCCTCGTCCACAGCAGATACCACAAGAATGTGAATATGCTTATCAAACATAGAAGGATCTTTAGCAAAATAATCGCTAACCTTATCCTC